AGGGGAGCGAGGAGAAGGAGGTGGCTGAGGGGGTGTTGGAAGCAACAGAACAGAGGGAAGGAGAAGGAGGAGGGCGAGGGGCGGGGAAGGACCAGTGTTGAAATTGAATGCCAGGGCGCCATGTTCTCACCGCCAGCGTTTCCATGGTTACAGGGTGATTCTGGCGAGTAAGGAAATTTCATTCACATTGGTATGAAGGGAGAGAGAAAAAAAACAGGAGGGAAATATTAACAAAGCAGCAGAGGAGAAGAAAGGAGCACACTGTAGAGGAAGAAAAAACAGGTACAAGGAGACAAGGAAAAAAAAGAAGAAAGAACATCTACTGGGGGTTTAAGCCACCCATCCCCCAGGCAGACCCTCGCTGTCTTTCGTTCCTTGTTTTTTTTTTTTTCTTGTGTATTCCTGTGATGCTCAGTTTGTTTGCCGCCACCCTATAAGCAAACACAACACCCACCCAACAATCTCCCCGTCCTTCCTGCAGCCCTGCAGGTACATGGTGAAGAACAAAGAGAAACACCTCTAACAGGCCGCTCTGTGTGTTTTTGTCAGTGTCTCCTTTTATTTTATTTTATTTAGGAAGAAAGGCGATGGGGGTTGGTGCCAGGGTGGTTGTAGGAAAAGGCAGAGGGTGTGTGTGTGTGTGTGGCGGGGGGMGGGGGGGGGGMGGTCAGAGAAATCAAGAGGCAGGGGAATTGTTGGCAACATGTTTGACACGTTTGCTGGTACCTCAGAGGCGTGGCAGAAGTTCATCGTAAAGCGCTCGTCTTGCGTTCTTCAGTTGCTTCAATTCAATGCAGAAAAAAAAATCAAACCAGCTAAAAACAGTGTGTGCATGTGAAAACTTGAGCACACGGGCATGTGTGTCAACCTGCATAAATACAGGCAAACTCTCACTCGCCGCCTAACAGGGGCTGACAACTGCATGGGGGTTTGACTGGGATGTCGCCGCAGCCAATGTGACAGCTGCACAGCCGAGCAGCCTTTGTACACAAAACACACACATAAACAAGTGTAAGCGTCGTCCTCATTTCTGATATGAAGTGTAAATATTCTCATCAGCACGTACAGCAAGGTTTTCCTTTTCTTACTGCAGTCCATCAACGTGTAGTTAGGACTGATTTAAAGTGATGTGTGCTGATGTTTTACTGTCGTGGAACATAACGTAAGACTTTAAAACCACTTTGTTTTTCTTTCAGTGGCCGAGGAAGGGTTTTGGGAGTGTGGCTTGTCCTATGAGTGCAGGACTCTCCTGTTCAAGGCCATTCACAACCTGCTGGAAAGGTAAAACTGCTGCTATTATTTCCAGTTAGTGTTGATTTTATGCATTTTTTTAAAAAAAAGAATGTTAAGAAAATAGGATTTTTTAAGTTTCTTTTTACATTCTTTTGTTTTTGTAAAATAAATCAACAAAGTTGCAAAGCTTAAAATATGAACCAAAATAAAAGTATCTGAGTTGCTCAAAAAATATTTCCTAAAATTTGCAACTTGTCTCCTACTTCTGATGTACAAAAGTGAAACTAGGGATGTGTGACTGAAAGTCGTCTCATGCACTTGGTACGACAAGTGGAAAGCGACACAAAGTACCAGCTGAAAAGATGATTGTAAAACATGTAACTTATAGCTAAATGATTAAAAAAAAATTTTGTAAATAAAAATAATCATCAAACATGACTGAAAAAGTCTCAGTTTAAATGAAAATAAAAATTATGCTTCAGGACTATTATTTGTCTTTTTATGCCTGTTTATGGATTTATATCAGAAAACTAATAAAAAATAAATCTAAATATATCGAAACTTACTTTAAGGTCATAGCAATTTATTCACTAATTTATAGTTTTTTAAATTTAGTTTATAACAAAACTGATTTTTTTCCTAAAGTTTTATCAGATGTGTTTATTCAGATGTTGTACATAGTTCAGACTTGTTTAGCAAAAGCTCATTTTCTGTGATTGTCTTGAAGGAATGAATTTTAAATGTGCAAATGATTATTTTCTGAGTTTCACTAAAATATTTCCAGGTGGTTCATGGGATATTTTGCTAACAGAACAGACACACAGGGATGACTCCAACTGTTAATGCTGAAGTTTTCAACCCAGATGCCTGTAATAAAGAAGTTATAAGTGATTAAAGCTAGATCTACTGAAGTAATTCTTTATATAAAGGGACTCCAGTGAGTTTGAACGTTCAAAGCAAAATCTCCAAACAAAACAACTAACGGTTAAATAGATATACAACCTTGGTTTTCTGTCACGAGTCTCATCTTAATGAAATTATAATCTGAGCTCTGAATCACTTTCCCAAGTACCCAAAGCTCTCCTTTCTGAGTCGGAGCCATCTGTTAAATGAAGCAGCACATATTTGCTCTCTATTAAGCTAAGCCTCAGTGATCATCATAAGAGGAAGGCTGAATTAACCTTCCTATTACCTTGAAGCTGACTCTGTTTATAGCTCACTGTTTCAACACTAGAGGGATCACTTTCACTTCTTTGTTCACTTTCAGTACAATAAATGGCACAGATAAATCTGACCTAAACCTCAGCTGGGTACATACGAATAAATGATTAATAAATGTTTAATATGTCTGTTTTATTGTAAATAATAAATGTTACACAACTTGGACTTTATGATGAGTGTTAGATGTAGTTTATACAAGCTTTTCTGTGTGTAAGGTTTGTAATGATCAGGCGATCCATCCATCCATTTTCTTTACCTGCTTTTCCTTTCTGTGTCATTGGGAGCTGTGCCTGTTAGGGCTGGGCGATATGGCTGAAAAATGTATCATGATATAAGTGTTTCATATCAGTTGATAATAATAATTATTGATTAGGGTTTTTTATTATATATTTGAAGTACGGACCAGGAGAAAAAAAGCTAACTGGTGTCTTGACCTTTCCTCTTTTATCCACAATTTCCCCTTAAGCTGTTGCACTCATTTTCTCTTTCCACTCCACGTCGATCTTTTTTCTATTTTGAAGCTGTAATGAAGCTGCTACTGCGCATGTTACTCAGCAGGTTGTTGCTAGCTTACCAAAGAGAGAATGAGTCACCAGCCTTGCTTAGCTGGGCTTTAGCTGCTGGATAGCTTCAGTAGAAGTCCTGGTCCGTAACTTACTTCCCTCCATAAAATTCCACAAACTTTGTAAACAGCGTGTGGCTGACTGCAGTTAATTTATGAAGCCGAAGGAACAATCTGCGGTCCAGGTTCATCCTAATTTTTTATTTCCTTTTATAATTTTTTTGTAAACTTCTGTAAGTGAAATTAGTGACGCTCTATTGAACATCTTTTATATTGATATTGATAATGTGTCTATTTCAAGATAGATTATTATAGTTTTTTCGCCCAGCCCTAGTACCTACACACATGGACAAAATTGTTAGTACCCCTTGTTTAATGAAAGAAAAACCCACAATAGTCACAGAAATTACTAGAATCTGACAGAAGTAATAATAAATATAAACTCTATGAAAATGAACAAATTAAAGTCAGACATTGCTTTTTAACTAGGCTTCAACAGAATTAAGAAAAAAAATCAAGAAACAGGTCTGAACAGAAATGATGGTACTCCTGAAAATAATGTGACCAAAGGGACATGATAAATCAAGGTGTGTCCACTAATTAGCATCACAGGTGTCTGCAACCTTGTAATCAGTCAGTGGGCCTGTATACAGGGCTGCAGATACTCACTGTGCTGTTTGGTGACATGGTGTGGACCACACTCAACGTGGACCAGAGGAAGATAAGGAAAGCATTGTCTCAGGAGATTAGAAAGAAAATTATAGATAAGCAGGTAAAGTTTATAAGACTTAATCCAAGCAACTTGATGTTCCTCTACAGTTGCACAAATTAATCAGAAATTTAAGATCCATGGGACTGTAGCCAACCTCCTTGGATGTGGCTGCAGGAGGAAAATTGATGATGGCTAATATGAATTATAACAAAAGATCCCAGAAAAACTTCTAAAGAGATTAAAGGTGAACTTCAAGCTCAAGGAACATCAGTGTCAAATCGCACCGTCTGTCATTGTTTGAGCCAAAGTGGACTTAATAGGAGACAAACAAGGAGGACACCATTGTTGAAAACAAATCATAAAAAATCCAGACTGGAATTTTCCAAACTACATTTTGACAAGACACAAAGCTTCAGGGAGAATGTTGTCTGGACACATGAGACAAAAATGAAACCTTTTGGCAGAATGCATCTGCTCTATGTTCACAGATGTAAAAATGGAGCATATGAAGAAAAGTTCAATGTCCCTACCGTGAAGCATGCAGTCTCTGTTATGTTCTGGGCCTGCTTTGCTGCATGTGGCACAGGATGTTTTGAATCTGTGCAGGGTATAATGAAATCTCAAGACTATCAAGGGATTCTAGAGAGAAATGTGCTGCCCAGTGTCAGAAAGCTTGGTCTCAGTCGCAGCTCATGGGTCTCTCAACAGGATAATGACCCAAAACAGCTAAAAACACCCAAGAATGGCTGAGAAGAAAACACTGGACTATTCTGAAGTTGTCTTCTATGAGCCTTGACCTAAATCCTATTGAGCATCTTTGGAAGGAGCTGAAACATGCTGTCTGGAAAAGGCACCCTTCAAACCTGAGACAACTGGGGAGCAGTTTGCTCATGAGGAGTGGGTTAAAATACCTGCTGAGAGGAGCAGAAGTCTCAGTTACAGGAATCATTTGACTGCAGTGATTGCTTCAAAAGGTTGTGCAACAAAATATTAAGTTCAGGGTACTATCATTTCTGGCCAGACCTGTTTTATGAGTTTTATTTTCAAAATATTTCTGTTGAAGTCTGGTTGAAATTGTCTGACTTTTATTTGTTCATTTTCATATAATTTTTATTTATTATTACCTTTGTCCGATTCAAGTTCGTTCTGTGATCATTGTGGGTTTTCCTTTCGTTAAATGAGGGGTACCAACAATTTTGTCCATCCAGCAGTCATTGTGGCAGAGGAGGAGTACACCCTGAACAGGTTGCAAGTCCATCACAGAACCACACAGAGACAAATGAGACAAACAACCTTTCATTCTTTAATAAGGAAATCTCTGTCGCAAAATTAATTAATGAGTTTCAAAGAGAAAATGTGCTCTGTGTCTGAAGGAAATTACATAAAATGTAATCAGATGTTTTAGTTATTCAGTAAATATAAAAAACAAACACCAATTTGTAAAAAAATTAAATTAAATTAAATTGTAATTCCATGTGTAATGGAGGGGACATCTGGATTTTTGTTTCATTATTGACTCTGTGCTCAGCTTCTATAAAGAGATGGCTTACAGCAGTGAGAGCTGATAGACACCAAATGCATCAATAGTGAGAGGAAACTGAACTGAAGACAAAAAGATAGTTCTAGATGAGCTCGAATCACTTCCTGAACTCACTCTGTAACTTGGTGACCCAGGTCACAGGATTCAAAGAGGAATTTACTGGCACCTGCACACACACACACAGACAAGTCAAAGTTCTGAGCGAGCCAACTCTGAGCCGTCTGGAACGATGCTGGCAGTGTCGTACAGGCAGCTGGGTGACTGAGAGGAACTTAATGTGCTCACATTTTGATCTGATCAAAATCAAAAGGCTTTGAAAAGATATGTGTGAAAGTGCAAACCATTTTGAGGAAAGCAGATTAGCATAAGACTGTGTTCCTTTTTCTTTTTTTGTACCAGTGAGGAACGCTTGTGTCAGACTGTACTCTGATTTAGCAAAAAATAGTGCAGCACTCTTAATGTGTATATATATAT